CAAAGCCCTTTATTCTTTGTACATGTACCTTTCATCACTCCACCAGGTCTGAGACTTAATATCACACCACTGTGTTTAGGCCAAGAAAGACGATCGAAATGGCAGCAAGTAACCAAAAAGTAGTTCTAGTCACAGGATGCTCCTCGGGAATCGGCCTAGAAACGGCTGTTATGCTTGCAAGAGATGCCGATAAAAGGTTCAAAGTATACGCTTCAATGAGAAATTTTGCAAAGAAGGATCCACTGGAGAAGGAGGGGAGTGATGTTCTAGGGAAAACATTGTTTATCGAGAAGCTGGATGTATCTTCTGAAGAGCAGGTTGAGAAAGTTCTTGACGATCTTTTGGCAAAAGAAGGAAGGATTGATGTTATTGGTGAGTAATTGAGTTAATTTGGGTTGAATGCCTAAAATGCATTTTGTTTTTCAGACAAGCTTAATTTCTAACCTTTAATGAACCGGTTCAGCTGCTAATTGCTGCAAGCTGCAAACTTGTTTATACTGCTTTTGAAATGAAGGTGCTGTTACGGTGCAGGGTGCTTTAAAGCTACCAAAATAAAAGTTTCAAAATCTCTAAGAGAAAAGAAGCTTATCAGTTGCAGTATGAAAAATGTATTTCAATCAAGGGTTGAAATTTTGCTGACTCATGAAGAGTAAAGTATATCGTAGCGATCCGATTTTTTTTAATAATCAGCGTGAGTCAGCGTAAATTCTGCGAGGCTTCCAAAGAGGTCTGGTATTCTATGGTCTGGTCCACACAGCGTCTATTTCAGTGGTGGAGCCACGGGGGAGAATAGGGGGAATAGTCCCCCCCACTTTTTCAGAAAGCTGGTCCTTGAGATTCTTGCAAACCTGATGAGAAAACTTCAGGGGGAGGGGTATGTCGTTATCTAGATCGTCACATGTTAATGACATTTCCACCGGAAGAAGAAGTCTCAAACAGGGGGAAAGGGCGTGGTACAAAAGGGCGTGGTATAAAAGGGCGTGGACCAAAAGGGCGTGGACCAAAAGGGCGTGGTCCCCTGACACACCTTTTGTTCCCCTCCACTTATCCCAGGCTGGAGCCGCCACTGGTCTATTTGAATAATTTCAAGGCGGCATCCAATGTCACAACTTACGGGGGACGTGGGGAGTTGGAGAAAATCCCCGGATTTTTGAAAGGGGACTCCCTGGTGTGGAATTTTCTCAACGGGGATTTTTTATTTTCCTAGCTTGTTACACAAGGGGTGCTGTTGTCCGTTTGGCTGAATCAAATAAAGCGTTCCTTGCTAAGCCATTGTCTTTCCTTTTGGAAATCAATAGAGAGAGTTACCGTTGTGCTTGAAGAAATAAAGTCTTAGCCTTTTTTGGCCCATACTTGTTCGCTCTATTGTTGCTCACACGCCGAGCTGAAGATTAACAAGAACGTGTACATTTATTCAAGCCTCTGAAACTTGATACCAGCAGGGACAGATTTAAGCAGCAGGTGTTGGGGGAAGGGAGTATAATCAGTCACCTGAAGGGTGTGGCTCCCATTTGTTTCACGAAAATCCAAGTAACATCTACAGCTAACATGGCTTTATTTATTTACTGATTTTTTGATGCATTGACTTATTGATTTATTGACTAATTGATTTATTGACTTCTTTGTTTATTTATTTTTTTATTCGTTTATTTATTTAATTGTTTATTTATTCATTCATTCACTTTAGATTGTTTGCCGAAGATTGCATTGCTTATAAAAACCAATTTTTCAATTGTAGTGAATAATGCCGCTTTTGGGTGGTATGGGCCTACCCAATGCCACAAATCCGAAGAAATACAAAGCATGTTTGCTACGAACGTCTTTGGGCCTATCAACATTATTAAAAAAATGCTTCCCCATTGGAAAGAAAGGGGATCAGGACAAGCAATAACTGTGACGTCAATTGCAGGCATCATGGGTTTTCATTACAGCTCTGTGTATGCTTCAACCAAGTTTGCCATAGAAGGATTCATAGAGTCATTAGCCCTTGAGCTTCTTCCTTTTCCAAATATTAGGTAAGTCTAGGTAAGTAAGAAACTGAAAAGGCCGTCTAACAGTCACACAAAAGTAAGAATCTTTTCTGAGTAACGTCAGGGCCTTTGGAATGAATTTATGAAGTGTTTGTAAGGGGAGGGGGTAGAGTGGCTGTGATGAGGTTGGGAGTTCAATTATTAACCAGTCACAACTTTGTTTCAGATCACATCACTTGATCAATGTTTAGCTACAATACCTTTCTGAATATCTCATCATATAAAATCCCTCACTAGATCTAGCTGATCATCGATATTGCAGGAGAAAATCTATTTCTTGCCTTGTTTACCTCCTCCTGGTCCATAGTTGTCCTATCGGCAGTTTGTTTTTTATTAATCCACATGTATGACTGCGATTAAAACCATCATAAGGTTGATTTTTCACTTAGTAAGCTCAACTTGAAGATGCATGTTTTCTTGTCTTCATTCTTCCTTATGGTTTGGCTTAGTCAACCTAATACTGTTTTTCTACATTAAGTGGATTTTTTTGTTTTTCTTTTTCAGGATGACATTAGTGGAACCTGGACCTGTTTTAACAAAGTTTTTCTCAAATTCTCAAGGCGAAAATCCTATGAATTTTGAAGGCATTGATGAACCAACCAAGGAAGCCATGTCTGATGTGAGCACCAGCACTCCTATAATATTTGAAAAAGTTGGGCAAAAAGGTGAAGATATTGCCAACGTCATCATAAATTCTATTGTCACCGATAAACCTCAGCTTAGGTACATGACTAATGATAAGTTTGCCGATTTGGTAAAGAGCAAATATACTGATCTCACTGGTGAAAAGCCGCTTAAAGCTATGTCGCAGTGGTATAAAGTCCTGCAGTAACAATCAAAGACTGTTTTATTTTAACACGAGAAGAAGAAGAAATTTAGCAGAACAAAAACATGTATATTTTATACTGTACCATACTGTTCAGACTAAGTTTCTGTCTATAACAGTCTTTTTGATTTTGAAAAATCTGCTTGAATTTCTTGTGTTCTTTTTATGAACTTCAACTTTGTTTTGCCTCTATACACACGTGGAGTAATTCGATAGAATAATCAATGAAGCTGGGCCTAAGGAGCTCGCATGGACTCTTTGCTACCGTCATTATCAGTCAAAATTAGTGGATAATGACATTTTCTTGAATCTTGAAACAGAAAGCAAAAAATGTGTTGCAATTGCATCTAGTAGAAGGATATGGAACAGACAAGACTATTGTAATAGCTCCTGGACAGTGTTTTAGGCGTTTTTGTGAGAGTTTATCTTTTAGTAATCCACTAGTTGAACGATATGAAATAGATCATTAAGGAGAGTATAAGCGTGTCGGATGACATCTAGCTACGTTTATATCCAAGCGTCTATAGCTACAGTGGGTTTTAATCACTTCAAGTGAATTTGGGTGGTTGTTTATGAAGATTTTGTTTCCTGAATCACTTCGAATTAAAGTGATGGAATGGTTGAAAAGATTTAAGAATTCACTTTTTGTAGGAATCAATTTGAAAAGCCAATTTTACTTTGAATTTCTGTCGACATATGGATCGGAAAACGCTTCTGAATCTTGTTTCAATTGAGTTATCGTGCATTTTTTGCCTTAGATAAATGGCTTTACCTTTGTAGCTCTTGGAGATTCATTTTGACCTCAGATGTGAAAAAAACGGCCATTTTCCTTAAACAAAGTGAATCCATCAAAAAGGAATTTGAGTGGTGAAAAATATGTCAAAAATATGTCATATCAATAAGCATATGAATATGTAGACCTCTACTTTCAAGTTAGGGGTCTGGAACACAGACTAATGTTTACGATGCTCAGTTACAATTTGTCTATGGGAGGGACTTACGGTCATGATCAGTAAATAGGGCCTAGTTCGTTTCAGTACTTGTTTTGTTAAAATAAACACAAATAGAAAGCTATCTTTAGCTAATTCGAAAGTATTATAGTGGGCGTTAAATTTACAATCTCTTAATGCCCTTTGTCTTTCTTAGAAACATGTGGCATAGAAACGTTGTGCCCATTTCATGTAAAGTTAGTTACTGTGGTCCGTGTTAATCATAGTTTTTAACCGGATTTTTCATTAAGAATGGTCGGACTGTGATTCGTAGAAAGACACTCTCATCATCGAAAAATTGTTGTGGCGAGTGGAAGGAAAGTAAATATAAGTAACATTGAAATAATTGATTTAAAAATGTAGATGACCTTGTCCAAAATATGGTCAAATTAATTCGCCCCATAAATGATGTTCGGAGGAAACCTATAGCGAAACGTTAGCTAATATGTTTTTCATTGAAAATGTATTTATATCTTAAAAAATATTCGAGTCAAGAGCTAATATAAAATGTTTACATGGCAAAAACTGACAGGAGAAAAATTGTATTTACAAGGATGCTAATGAACCACTCCTGGCCAAGGACCGCGAAGCATATTACATATTGAGGGGGCTAAAAAGCTGGGGGGCTAAACATGCTAAAAACCAAGAGCAGGGCGATTTTTGGTATGATTTTAAGTACATTTTAGAAATTATTGGGGGGCTTAAACCCCCTATATCCCCCGCTTCCGCATTCCCAAGAGTCTTAACAGTGATCGAATTCCTGTTTGTTGCTTCAAAAACCAACGCTAATTCCACTGAGCCAAACAGCTCAATGAAATGAGCAAAGAATTTTGGAAGCCAGTATCGAAGAGTTCACCGTAGCCAAGGTAGTTGTTTTTTCTGTTTCAGCTTTAAACCTTTGTTAAAGTCATTTTAACCATTAATACATAATTGTTAGGCGACATAATACGTTCATTTAGGCATAGGCTGGCATAGGCTTTTTATTACTATAGGTTCTATGGGTTGTGGTAAGTTTGCCAACCTCGATACAATCGTCATCAATTTAGAAACGAGGATAGGATGGCCAGGCCCGCGCACAGCTTTTTGAATCACGGTGAACGTTGTTAGAATGGTTCTTCTACGTGTTTATTATCTTTCGTAGTGCAACACCTGCTTTTATTTTCAGCATGTGCTTGTAATAAGCAAATACGCAAGTTGTTGTTGTATAACTAGAAGTACTGCGCGCTGGTACAAGCTGATATCACTAGGTGCTTGACGATTGTTGCCGAGTGTGCGACTTAGACTGGGTGCGACTCCACTTCCCGGTATACTGGTGTATGTGCTTGGTGGCATAACTTAAGCCCGTGTTAATCTGCTGTCAGGCAAAGGTCTTTAAAAGACAGCCGCAGACAGTAAGTTGTAATTTATTTATTATATTAACAATTTTTGTGTACACTTAGCAGCTTTAAGAGAGACCTCTTCTTCCTCGAGGATTTATTGACATTCGTCTGCCCAACCTTTATCGCGCGAACCGATCCTGTGTCCGTTGCATTCATATGAATCGCCGTTTGCAAGAAAACTGTTGCTTCGAATTATGAAGATGTTCGATCATTCTTTGGTTCTGATGAAACTTATTTCCTGGTGATAATTGAAGATTTTATCGTCAAGAAGCTAACAATTTAGTCTTCGGGTCTGAAGATGGGCAAAGAAATAACCCTGTAATGTCGTATACATTCATTTAGGTAAGCAATCGATTAATCTAAATCCAGATAACACTTTTAGCCCAATTCAATGAACATGGTACTTTGAAGCAATGCTATAGAATAGTAATCAGCATATATAGAATAGTAATCAGCATATATATAGTAATCAGCGTAAAACCTCGATGAAACTAAATTATTTTGGTAAACTCGTGATACGATTCGAAAATGATTTCATTTGTTATTGCGAAGAATGCTGAAGACTGATCGTTCTAAATACTCGTGTGATTGATTACAAAGGTACAAAGAGGTAAAGCCAAAAGATATAAAGCAAAGTGAGTCAAATATAATAAAGATGAGCTGCTTCAAAGCAAATATTTTCCAAACCTTCCTAATCAACATGTATGATTGACACATGAAATCCGATTTGTTTACGGTATTGCATTTTCAGATCTAGCTATAAAACTGAAGTATTGTAGGCATTGATACCACCTCATCCCCCCACCCTCCTGACCCCCATCCCCTGTCCTCTATGGAAGAGAAGGAAAGGCAATGTTTGCTAAAGGTCTCTTGGCTGTGCAAGAAAGGTCCTCCAATTGTTTTAATTTTAATCATATTTTCATTTATATCTAAGATTGTTAAGGAAAGACCTTTTAAGGAAACCTTCCAACTAGAATTACACTCATTGATGTGTGGCCGCATTAAAAAGAAGGACCAGGACACTGCTTGATAAGTGTTCTCTGTGTCCTTAAAACTATATTTTGTTGCTAGATACAAAACAAATACAAGTTTTCTTTTCAGAGAATTTGTCTTATGACACAAAGCTTCAAATTAATATTGATCAGCAGAGGAATCCTGTGTGAGAAATTTTCTTCTGTACTAAACATCAAACAGGTGTTTTGTTACAATGCAAGGAAAATAATTTGACTTTTCCATGCAGAACAGATTTTTTCTATGTAATAAGCTGATTGCTATTTGTTGAAAAGAACCAAGCCCGTAAGAAAGTTAAGATTATTTTATCACATAAACTCTGTAATAGATTGAGCATGGGTATATCAAAAAGTGAAATCATTGCTCCAAAGCTTCTACAGAGTTGAAGAAAAATGTAGAGTCTGTGTAACAGAACTGCATTTCTTGTAACTATACCTGCAGCAATTTTCTCAGAAGACTGCCCTTATTTGTAATCTTCATTTGTTGACACAATGGATAGAATATGGGCTGGTTGTGATGTGTAATTAAATGTCTTTATGCTTGTTATGTCTGATTTTCACAATATGAACAAGTGGATGGTGCTGTAGTTTATAAACTTGTAAAGGAAATGCAAGTGTTATTTTTTAATTATCTAAAACAGAGGATGTCTCATGATGATGATGTCTGATATTTCAAAATGAAAGTAAGCTTTGGATATATGGTCTTATTCTTCATTAAATATTTAATTCTGACATTGGGAAGTTGAGCTAGCTCTGCCTCAAGTGTTTTCACTTCTCCAGAACAACTTTTAGTTGAGATAGTTTTTTGGTGTCATGATTTACTGAGAACTTCCCCTTGGTTAATTCTGCATGCAGGCTCATAGTGTTATGATGTAAATAATATTTTTGTGTGTGGGCGATCATCCTCTTCAATGACCTTGCAGGCCTTTCCCAGAGACGCAGGCTATAGTCCTCTCCCGTGCAAATCCCGCACAAGATAATTTTGCAAGGGCTTTTTTAGGCAGTGCTGTTTTTCAAACCGATGTTCTCATTTAGTCCGCAAACTTTAGCTTGTCAATGTTTGCATTACTTACCGCTAAATATCAGGGTGTCAGTAAATAAAGAGAAAGAGTTACACCATGCTGTCAAATATGAAACTGTTTCTTTTCAAGTCACAACATATAAACTAGGCATTTTCAAAAACACCACATTTGACTGGCCCAAAACCTAACAAAATTTTACTATATTTTAAAAAAGTTATGTTCCTCTTTTGTCTCATTTTAAGGAGTGGTAGTACAAAATTTAAAGGTAGTATTAAACACCAAAATGTGTATTAAAGTGAATAGTGTTTCAAGAATTGGCAAGGTAATGTATTTTACTCTCAGTCTGTTTACTTTTGCCCTGATGAAGCCCTGTATGCAGGGGCGAAATATTAGCCTTCACTGATTTTGTGTATTTGTTGTTGTTCATTCTCGTCACATTTCGGTGTTTCTTTTATGCTACATTTTTATCGATTTTTCCCTGCAAGAATTCCTTAAGAGTCCGTCGAGCAGCCTGCTATCGTTACCTTTCCTTCATTCAAATAATGTATTTTTGCCTCTGTAAATATTCAAATATAAAAGATTAACAACAGTTCTTGAAAGGCTTTTTATAGCCCACATTGTCTTTTTCCTGGAGGGGCCTGACCTTGGCAATTATTGGTATGGGTTTTTGCTTGCTCTTTCAAAAACATGTCTCATCTGCAAGAGACAGGAAGGGAAATTATAGCAAAGTAAGTTCCTATTTGTGGTATTCCTGAATGAAAAGTCAAAGTTCTAATGAAGATAAAGTTATATTGCTTCATAAATCATGTTACATCAAATAGCTAATTGGCAATCACATATTTAGAAAACAAATGTTTATGTAATCATAGGCAGATAATACCCTAGAACTCCCCTCAAATTATTTGCAGTGATTCAATGAACACTGACACTTGGTAAAAAAGGTACAGCATGTGTGTAGCTAAGCTTTGAGGTTCGATTTGACAGCTTGACTGGCTAGCTCAGCTGGTAAAGCAAAGAACATACAAATTTGCTCAATGTGTGTTGGAGTCTGCCCTTGTTGCGTCACTTGCTCACATTTGCTCTTGAAATTCATTTTCACATTAATTTGTTTCATTTCTTTAAAAGAATATTTCATAATGAATGCCAGTAATTTCTTTAGAGTTGCAAGATGCTTTGAACTCCACCCATACTTCTTTGTGCCAAACAGTTCCACATTACTGCATCTGCATCCAACCTATTTTATATTAAAAGGATATTTCCCCCTGTTTGTCAATGAAATCCACATCCAGGCTACACTGTTATGCAGTCTTTTAGTTTTCCTGGTGCTTTTTTAATTCTGATCTTATTTTGACTATAAGTTTTCATTCCTTATAATGATATCATTTTCTAAGGGGCAATGGCTGACACCTGAGGGGGGGGGGGCAATCACCTTGTGCATTTATGGCTTTGATAACTTTTCCATAACATTTCTTAGTTCAAAATAATGTTTCATGCAAGTAACAGCAAAATACATGCCACAGCTAAAAATTAAATTAGGTAACACTCATAAGTTTTCCTTAAGATTGTGTCTTGAAAATTGCTTTAGAAGTGCTTATTTTACTTGAAATAAGCAGTTCATTCTCAATTTTTCATGCCTTTTATTTATTTTTTCTACTTTATCAATGCCTGCTAGTTTATCTATATAGTTTTTTAGCTCCTGAGTTTGGTCATTCTTTTTAAAAGAAATTAAAAGATGGATTCTTTGTTTGTTGTTAATTACCAGACGTTTTCACCATTCTTACAAGCAAACAAAATATTCGACCTGTTTAATTTTCACAACAAATGTTACTTATTCAATTGCAATGGAAATTTTTTTGATTAAATATTTTCAATTTGTATAGTTTTCAGCAAACCATTGTTACAAACTTTCGAATAAATATCCTTTGCGAGTTTAATTTTTCTTCTGTTGACCTACTGTTTCTCGCAATTTTTCGAACAAATACAGATGTGTATCACGATAAATCGAGAGTATAGAAGTAGATTTGCATGCTATAATTTTTCATATGTCTAGGGCGAAGGGACCCTTTTCTTGCAAGGAATTTGCAATTCTCCTATTTTGCAATCCTCCTAACTCCCATGCTATAAAACAAAAAGAACGATGATACTATAGCACATGCTATATTATTTTATGCTAATGATTTATCTATTTCTAAACTCATCATTAGTTTCCTGTCCTTTTTTAATACCCTGGATATATATATGCTGCATTGAAATTCTTCTCGTGCCAGCTTATATTCTTTTTACAAGATACACTCGTTTGCTTTCGTTTGGCTGACAGTTACTGTGAGCCAAACAGCTGATATTGAAAACTCGGCAAAGCTTTGAGTATAGACTTCCTTGGATATGAAGTGTTTTCTTATTTTCAACAGCGTCAGACAAAATATTAAATTAGACAATCTGTGCTGTATGGGAAACTCCAAAAGCCTCTTTTATGCGGAGCGTTCACCTGCTTGAGACTAATCAACAGTCTTCCTGGTGTGTTTGTAACCCGGTAGTCCGCTGTCGATACTTAAATGTATATAATCCCAAATCCTTAGTGGTCGCATCTCTCTTTAATAAGGCTACAAAAATATCGAAAAATCAAATAATCACGTAATGATATCCATGACCAAAAGTCCCAATTTGGCCTAATTTCCAGCTAATTAAGTGGTAACACCCCCTTCCCAACCCAATTCGTTAAGTCGTAGCTATGGTTTTGAAGTGTTTTGGGTCCGAATTGGTGAATCTGTTTCCTTTCTTTTCTTCATTTATAAATGTTATTTTTCGAGGCTTCAGTTTATAAATGATATCGAAACAATTTCAGTTTACACTTGTTAAGTTTTCATAGATAGCAAATTTCTAATGTTCCAGTCTTTTGTGCTATGAATTGTACTGCGACAGTAATAAGTTCAAAACCCGAAATACAGCGTGAAGATTATTGGAACCAGTTGTCAAGGAAGAA